ATATATTTATATATATTTTATATTTTAAGAAGTTTGGAATCATAGTACTCCTGACATTGACAAACATTAAAATGGATTATTCTTGGAAAAAAAAAACTTTTGTTCTTTTCTTTTTGCTTATTTATTTATTTTTGTCATTTAGCTTCAGTTCAAAAAGAAATTTATTTATTTTTGTCTTTGTCTTTTCTTTCTACAAAAGTATGCAAGTGGAAACATGTTGCATGGCTGAGGTTTGAAGGTTGAAAAAAGAAAATTCAAAATTTTCAAAAGAACCCCAGTAATTGTTTTATGAACAAAAGAACCCTAGAATTTTAAATAAATAGACTTTTAGGTTATATTTAGTTAGGAGTAACATATATTTTAAGAAGTTAGCAATCATAGTATTCCTGTTAACATTGACAAACGTTAAAAAGTTTACTCTTGGCAAAAAAAAAAAACTAACTTAAATTCTTCTCTTTTTTTTTTTCTTTTTTTTTTTTTTGGTCTCTGCCTTTTCTTTCCATAAAAGTAAGCAAGGAAAAACATGTCGCATGGCTGAGGTTTGAGGTTTGAACAAAAAAAAATCAAAATTTTCAAAAGAACCCCAGTATTTTTATTTTTATTTTTTTGATCAGCAAAAGAACCCCCTAGTATTGACCTCGTAGAATATTATTGCGTGACAATTTACTATTCAACTGCAAATTTGAGAAAAAACAAGCTCGTGAATTGCTTTATTATTACCTGGTGGCCACTTCTTCAAAAAGTCATACAACGTCCAACCACCGTGAACGGTGATTTCTCAATAGTTCTCTCCATACATGATTCTACTTGCAAATGTGAAAGTGAAGGCTTGCCTCTAATTCTTTGATCACAGAGGACCTCAATTGACTATCAAACATCTCAGAGCCTCAAAAAATATTTTTTGGTGAATCACAGCCTGAATTTAATTGTACGAAAATTCTCTCTCTCTCTCTCTCTCTCTGTATATACATGTATATTTTCTACATCAGAAGGTTGACTTTAATTGCAGAAATTTGAACACTTGAGTTTATTCTAAATTAATATTTTAAATTATTTTTTCTATTCTAAAATAATTATATTTTTTTTTATCTTTTTTTTTTAAATTAAGAATTTAGGGATAATATTTATATATATCTATAATACCCTTCAAAGAAAAATAAAAAACAAAAAAAAAGGTTTTTTGTCATAAGTAATGATAGGGAGGATGGAAATTTGAGACCAATGGCATGGCTTATGCTACATTATTAAATTAGTTGAAGTATATAATATTATCCTTTTGAGAGTCAAGATTAAAGCTCCTCTT